AAACGTGTATTTGCATAGAAGAAGGGAGAAAGGGAAACAGTGAGTTTTTCAGGATTATGGAACTTACAGTGGTTTCTAGGCCATATTTCATTTTCCTGATTTTCCCTGCTAATGTCTTGTGCTAGAAACTATGCTGTTTATATTTCATCATCTCTCCTCAGGTATAGCAAACAAAAGGGAAAGGAAAGAACTCATCACAATTATAGGTCAGCAGCAGGAGGGTGGCAGAAGACTTCTGACTCATTAAAAGTGGCTTCCAGCCAGAATTCTCAGAAGTTTTTGTAGATGTTTTTGACTCATATAGGGAAATAAAATATCCAGCTGTGTTCAGCCTAATAGTAAAGTTGGGATCTATTTGTGCTATGTGTCCCCTCCATTACATTAAGTACATAGTTTATAATTGTAAATATTTGAAATTTATATTCAGAGATAAATACAGATGCACTGAAGCTGGGGGAAAGAAATGAAGAATGAATGGGGTTAAGAGTTGGGCTTTATTGGGTGTAGGTAGTATGATAGGGGGATTTTATTGAGGAATACTTCAGATTTCCTAGCTGTTGGATGGAGAGTAACACCATAGTTAGTGCTGAGAAGTGGGTGCCCAACTCCTGGGGAATGTGAATGGAAGGGCAGTCAGGTACAGGTACTGGAAATAAAGATAAACAAGTTATGGGTAAGTAGACCAAAGCAGTAAGAGTAGATTAAATCACCCTGAGGAAAAATGCGATAGAGCAAACTCAGTACTGTAAGAGGTAATCTCTTGTTAAAAAATGTCACTTTAATCTCATAGGATTACTGAAACCATATCTTTGCATGTCATTTTGAGGTTTTATAATGAATATTATATAAAACAGTTATGATTAAACTTGGTTAATTTTTTCAGCTTTACTTCAAACACTGGCTCCAAAGATGAACCTTATAGACGTTTTTGATGGAGATCTTAAAAGACTTTCAAGATAGCATTCAGACTGGCATTGGGCATACTGTTGGGCCTATTACCACCAGCAGTTAAGGCTTGCAGGGCTTCTAAACAGAAGCATGGCATGCAGTCAGCTAGAGTCTTGATTTTATAACAATTTTGATTACAGATTGGGACAAGATTTTTGAGGTAAAGGTTTCAAAAAATAATAAGTTGCTCCTTTGCCTGACCAACATCATACGGTCTATTTCAGGAGATATTTGAACTCCAGAGCTCCCAAATACAATCTTACAGGGATATTTATTTATATTTCAAACAGCCTTTTCCTTAAATAATGGTTAGCAGTGTCCTTTGGTATTGATTCGAAGACAATACAAAAGTAAAAATATTAGCATAATCCAAGTCAAGTGTAGTTAATGTAAGATTACTCTCTATTTTTAATTGTTCTGTATATCTTCAAGATATATGGATAGATATTAAATATTTTCACAAAATCTGTACATTTCTCACAAAATCAGTGAAAAAGTGGGTCAAATGCATTACCTTTGTTAGCTTTAACAATCTGACATTTTAAAAGCTTCAAATCCAGTACATTTGAATTGTTAAGTTCAGTGGGTACTTCTCAGCCCTGACCTTAATTCCTCTGTGTATTTCACTTTCTTCTATGACCTCCAAAATATTCTACCCTGGTTCTTTTCCTGTCTATCATTTCTCCTCTGTGTCTACACCTCTTCCATAGCCCTATACCTAAGTGTTGGTATTACTGAGGTCTATCCTCAAGCCACTTTTTCCTTTTCTGGTACAGCTCTCATTAGGAAATGTAGTTGTTTTTCCAAGCTACAAATCGCAGAACCATTTGCAACCTCTCCTCACTCAATGGTTTCCTCTTCCTTACTTCCTATACCGAGTTAGTTTAGTTCAGTGAACATTTGAGTCTGGCTTATATCTCTCTTCAATCCAGTCCTTTCCTAACCTCACTGTCACTGCCTTTGGTCAGGTTGTGATCATTTCTTTTCTTGGCACTTTTGGTCAGCACACATTAATTGAGAATCCACTCTGTGTCAAGCACTATGCTAGGCATTAAGGATACAAAAATGATTCAAGCTTATGTAGAAATAAGAGTGTTAGGCAAACAAGCATAAGCAATTAGGTTACTTGACAATGGAAATTTGCTCTCATATTAAATACTTTATAAGACACGTAGTAATACATTAGAAATGTAGACAATTTTGCATTATGAAAAGCAAGCCTCAGAAGCTAGTGTGAGGTTGAATATTGTAAACAGCCAGCACAAGACAGGAAGCAGTACCACATGAAGGGATACCTTTATGTTACTATTGGTTTTCCCTATATCGTAGCATCTTGCCTTGTTTCAGTGTTTGTGTTACTTTCTTCTCTCCAGTGTTTCATAATCATTACTGGAAAGCTACCAAGAGTGCAGGACTGGATTGTATACACATTTTCTATTTATGTGAAGTTGTTTGTATGGAATATTCCTTAATGGAAGCATTGTATAAGGCATTTGTATAAGAAGTCAAATGGGGCAGAGTTGCTAATCCATTGTGAGGTTGGTCAGGGAGGACTTCATGAAAGTGATGTACTTGAGCGGGGACTTGAACTGGATGGAACATAACAAGGAGGTTGTATGAAAGCACCAAACCACATGTTGTAACTGTAAGTAATTTCTTAGCTCTGGGGTAGAATAGACAAAAATGGCTTTGACTAGAATAAATGAAGCCAGAGGGGTAGATGAAGCTAGGAAGATCATGAAGGATTTTGCGTGCCAAGCTAAGGAACATGGACAGTTCAGAGCTACTGAAGGATTTTAATCAGAGGAGTAACATAGTCAGATTTATGTTTTAGAAAGAAGTTCCTGGCATCCCAGAATCCTAACTTCAGCGAACCCTGCCCTGCTTTCTGTATTCTCTATCACCAGAGTCAGCTTGGTAAAACACAGGCTGATCTTGTAAATCCCAGCTCAACACTTAAGAACAGATGCCTAAGTCCGATTTTCTACTGTTCCTTTGCTATCTCCTCTATCTTGAACATTTTTGCATCAGACACCCACATGGCTCACTTCGTTTTACTCATGTCTGTGCTGAAACATCTCATCAGAGAGACATTCCTAGGCTATCCAAACCAGCATCACCTCTGTCACCCCTTAGTTTCTTACCTTGCTTTATTTTTCTTCTTAGCACTCACCCGCCCTAAAAGTTATATGTTTGTTTGTTTATTTCTGCATCCTCCACCTAGGATGTAAGCTCCATAACAACAGGAGCTTTTGTATATTTTGTTCACCTGTAAGTGTTCTGTGCTGGGCACTTGATAGGTGTTCAATATTTGTTGAAAGAATGTGGCCCCAACCACCTTTCTTCATTTCTCTCTTTCTCCCTGTGCTTCTCCCTTCAGATGGGGGAATTCTCACAGTTCACCAATGCTTAGTTATGCCTCCTCCTGAAATCCTGTCCCTCCCTCAAGATCCATCTCAGATACCACCTTTTCTGTAAAATCTTTTTTCAAGCAGTTCCTGCTTCTGGTTAGCTCCCATAGCACTTTTTGAATATTTAGGAGAAAAGTGTTTACCTGGGCTGTCCAGGATGTGATGGATATAAATAAATACTTGTTAGCAGTTATTTATTAACCAGTAGAGAATTACACAATGAGGTACACAAGCATTATAGGCAAAGTTTGAAATTCAGTTGGTTAAGTGGAGAAATGCAGTAATTAGGTGTAACTGGAAATTTGTTTATAAATGCAATATCATTAGGGGAAGATAGCTAGGGGAACCATCACCAATTTCTATTATATACACAGTTGTACAAACAATCTGGAGATGGTATCTGTCGATACATACATACACACACATACACACACACACATCATTTTACCAATGTATTACCTTTTTTGTAGAAATATTTACTTTTCATCTTCTTTCTGCCTAAAGTATTACTTCTCCACATGCATCATTGAAAAGAAATTATCTAGAAATGTTTCGATTGGGTCATATTAATAGCACTATGCCCAGGCCAATTTCTCCTTTCTAAAAGCTGATATAATTCCATTTGAATTGTCAAAAATGTCTTTGTCATAAGAAAATGCTGGATAATGACTTTTCTGGCTAACAGGAAGGTATAGAGGTATAAGGTATAAATTAATTTGGTTTTCCAATTCAGCATGGGTATCTGATGATTCTAAAATTCACTTTAAGTGATTAATGTCTGCTGTGAAATCCTGGCTAGGGTCTTTGTGTGAAGTTGTTCCACTTCTCATTTCTGAACTCATGTTCCTCTTTGACCCATGAGTGTCTTTCTTCTCAGGTGAATATCATGCTAAATTGTTTAGGGTTTCATTGAATTTTCTAATTGAGACACAAGCTATGAAAGCTAATAATTAAGTAGAATTATTGTCTACATGTAAAAGCAAAAATTGCCAGTAATCACCATTAACCTCTAATATTTGCCAACAAGAAATGTAAATAGCAAAAGTCAAATTTATTCTTCTTTTAATATTTGAGGACCACGTTAGATGGCTAGAGGACCATCTGCAGGTGCCAGAGGGGCTTTGGGACATTATCTCTAATGAGTTGAAAGTAAATAAATACAGGAAGCTGGTGATATGAAGATAAATACTTTATTTAGGGTTGTCCCTGTTTATTGACAACATCAATGATGCTGAGATGCTTCCTGTGGAAGATAGCAAAAGGAGTATGGTTTTCATATAATTCATCACAAATATCTCTTTTTTTTTTTTACCAAACAATGGCTAATGCATTTGAGAGGGGGAAACAAATCCCAGTAGATGTGTTAATTGGGAATCACTATACTACAAATGCATGAAGTGTAAGCAAACAGTTTCCTATGATGAGTTCATAAGCTTTTTAATGAAAGATTAGGAAGAATTTAGCCCATTCCCTTGTTGTTCTTAAGATGCGAAAGGAAGATTTTAGAAAGACTTATGTCAACTTTAAGTAGACTTTAAAAGTTTGTTGTGTTAGAGAAATATTTGAGATGTTATAATGCAATAGAAATTCTTGCTTTATGTTTTTTAAAGGATTTTTTATGGTGTTTTGTTTGTTTTTCAGAGTAAAGCCAATCCCAGCTGAAGGAATCAAGTCAAATCCTTCCAAGCGGCATAGAGACCGACTTAATACAGAGTTGGACCGTTTGGCTAGCCTGCTGCCTTTCCCACAAGATGTAATTAATAAGCTGGACAAACTTTCAGTTCTTAGGCTCAGTGTCAGTTACCTGAGAGCCAAGAGCTTCTTTGATGGTAAGACAGAAGTTTTAATTTGTCTATGATAACTTATAAAAAATACTTGTATTAAATATAGCTGTTTCTGTGTTAATAACTATAAAAATTAGCTATATTTGGAAAATTTATTGCTGTATAGTAAAACTTCAGTGGCAAAGCCAGATTTAGAAGTCTTTATTTATTTATTTATTTATTTATTTTTCTTGAGACAGAGTCTCACTCTGTTGCCCAGGCTGGAGTGCAGTGGTGTGATCTCAGCTCGCTGCAAGCTCTGCCTCCCAGGTTCACACACATTCTCCTGCCTCAGCCTCCCAAGTAGCTGGAACTACAGGTGCCCACCACCACGCCCAGCTAATTTTTTGTATTAGTAGAAAACTAATTTAGTAGAGATGGGGTTTCACCATGTTAGCCAGGATGGTCTCGATCTCCTGACTTCGTGATCTGCCCGCCCTGGCCTCCCAAAGTGCTGGAATTACAGGCATGAGCCACCGTGCCCGGCTGCCAGATTTATGAGTCTTAAAATCAATTTTCCAGTTTTATTCACCCAACTGATGCAGCCACTGAAATGATGCATGGTATCATTCTTTGAAAATCATGTATTTAGAAGTTACACTCAAATTGATTATGTCCAATTGCAGTTTCCCTTCTACTTCAATATTTAAAAGTCTGTCTTTTAAAAATAGAAATAAAAAAAGGATAAAACACCATCTTGCTAGATTTTCTATGTTTTCATAGATATTTTATTTATCCCTCCAAAGTTATGTATATTTCTAATCTTTTTTTTTTTTTTTTTTTTTTGAGGTGGACTTTCACTCTTGTTGCCCAGGCTGGAGTGCAGTGGCACGATCTTGGCTCACTGCAACCTCCAACTCCCGGGTTCAAGCGATTCTCCTGCCTCAGCCTCCCGAGTAGCTGGGATTACAGGCACCCACCGCCACGCCCGGCTAATTTTTTGTATTTTTATTAGAGACGGGGGTTCGCTCTGTTGGCCGGGCTGCTCTCAAGCTCCTGACCTCAGGTGATCTGCCCATCTCAGCCTCCCAAAGTGCTGGGATTACAGATGTAAGCCACTGTGCCTGGCCTATTTCTAATCTTTTACATTAATTGTAGACTGACTGCAAGATATATAATTAAAACATGTTTTTCACTAGAAAGAATATTTGAAAGAGTCAATAGAATTTCATTCATTATTGTGTCACTGAAAACTGTTTGTCATTAACCAAACCAGGTAGCATCCCTATAGCTCAGTTTCCTCAGCAGTAAAGGTTAAGATTTTGAACTAGGTGGCTGGATGATATTTGTTAGCTTTAAATTGCAATGGAAGTTTTTGTTTGCAAATGATGTTTCAGTGTATTTTCTCATGTAAAATTTATTTATGATTTTTCTTTTATCTGTCTAGAGGCAGAAATAGATTTTTTTAAGGAAATGGTCTTTTTAAAATGTTATATAATTTTACTAACCATAGCAAGTTAATGGTAAAATCTCAGTGGGCTATGTCAGTTAGTGCTTCTCATACATTAATGTGCTTACAAATCACATAGGAATCTTAAGATGCAGATTCTTGTTCAGTAGCTTTAGGTGTGTCCCTAGATTTTGCTTGTCTAACAAGCTGCGAGATTATACTGATCCTGCTCGTCTAGGTCACTAGGAAGTGCCTAGACAACACGTTTATTGATATTCGAATTGGTAATTTGTGTTTAGAATACTGCAATGGTTAATTTCCCTTTAGATTTATGTTTACATAATGTGATGTGTTTAGTCTGAGCATCTTTTTATTTATTTGCTTGCTTGCTTGCCTGCCTGTCTGTGTGTTCTTTCTTTTGGACAAAAGCTATTTAGTTTAACAGTTGTGGTCTGGGCAATATACAGATTTGAGGATAGTGATTTCAGGAAAGATTATGTATTTCAAAGTTTCATAGTACACAAATTTTCTCTGACCTATATAAAAAGCGTTTGAATTTTCAGTTGCCTCTATACCAAACCCTTCATCTTGGGAGAAGAGTTATGAAGTATTCAGTGATGTGTCTGTAAGTATGTGTTTATTAGCTGTAGTCATTTAGCTGATATAGTTGGAACTAGAACTCAGGTTTCTAGATTCCTTATGTTGTTTTTCCTGACCAAATAATACCTATATTTTTCTCTGGCAACCGTTGCATAGCAAAGCACTAAGGATTTTTTCCTAGATCTGTGGTTCTTTAAAGTGTAGTACCCAGACAGGCAGCAACAGCATCACTTGGGAACTTGCTAGAAATGCTAATTATTGGGTCCAAAGGTAGACCTATGTAATCTAAGGTGATAGGACCCTTGGTGGTAGGGCTAGATGCATGTTGAAGTTTAGGAGCCACTGCTGTAGATTGTAACTTCAGGCCTCCTCCCAGCTTCACAGAATGCTGTCCTAATCCCTAGCATTCACTCACATGCTGTGCTTAGTGCTTGACCATGTGGTGGCGTTCTATGATGTATAAGACGTGGTTGCCACCCTTAGAGACTCTGGAGTCTAGAAGCCAAGGAGGCATTATTCCCTGACTCTGATAAAGGTTTATTGACTTGAGTCATTTTACCTTTCCATTTCTTGTTCCTTTATAATGGGGAATCAAATTATATATGTTAAAAAGAAAAAAAATGTGTAGGTTTTTCTTCTGTTTAGAAGTAGTATGTGTGTATCTAGGCAGATACATACAGATGTGTGTATGAACACACATAAACAGATATATTTCTATATTTAATGTCTATATTATGTATGTGTGTTCATGTATATATACACACAAACACATACATGATTGGCTATGTGTCCTATTATTCAGTGCCTCCAGTAAAGGAGATCTCAGAGTCTATCTTATAAAGAATGCCATAGTTTAACACAGGGTTCATCATGAAATTGTTAAAAACTTTTTCTCAGTTCTTCATTAATGAGTTTGTCTATTTTTTATTCTGGTTGAGTGTATTTGACAGTAGGATCTTATTACCTATTTGCATGATTCCTTCATCAACTACGTTATCTTTAACGTTAATTTCTTTTCAAACTGCATTGCGCATAAGAATTACCTAGAAAGTTTTGTAAAATGCAGATTCGAATGCATGCCCCTGCTGATAACAAGTAAGTTCTCTTTAAAACCCAAGAATCAGTATTTTAACAAGCATGTTACGGAGTCTGAGGCAGTGATTTAGCCTAGCCTTGATTATGCCCTAAACAAGTTAATTTTTTTTTCTTTGCCTTCAGAATGACAAATACAAACATATAAAATTTAAAGAAGTCTGTAAATATTTTTGCTTGGATTTTAGTGGTGTACATTCAGCCTAAGCAGTTTCTTAGATTGTTTGATACAGAAACATACAGTTAGATGGAAAATGAAAATAATCAGGTTTTTTTTTAATGCCCAAATTTCCTCCAGACTACCAGTGGTCTGGAAAGGCAATGCAACATTTCAGAGCACACAGAGAATGAAATTATAAGGGTAACCCTTATGAACTGAAAAAATGGTAGATGCAAATGAAGAAACTTGAAACAGGCTAACAATGATTAGGATTTTTGTGTGCAGTTGGACCCACTCTCCCACTATTAGGGAAACAGTATAGCGAAGCGAAGGGAAGCTCAAAGTGAATAACAGGATGCAAACAGGGGGTGTGTAAATTCCTGCGGAAAGAACAATATAAACGAGTAATCATACAATCTGGTTAGAAAGGAAACTCAAGTTTTACTGTAACAATAGATATTTTTCCAAGAAAATACATCTATTTATTGCAAGTTTAAATAATCCAACTTGGATGGATCTTCTTAAAGTTTGGAACCATGACTGTACTGCTGCTGCTGTCTGAAAAGCAACACTGAAGTTTTAAGTACTATATTAATATTTATCCATTTCTAATTAATTAAAACATTTTGAAATATAATTTAAAAATACTTGAACAAGGCTTAGTAATTTTTCAGTTATTATAAAGTTGAAAATAGTTTATTTGACATGATTTAAGCATTACATTTAAATATATTATCTCTGAGATGGAGGGTATTTTAAAAATTTAAATAACTTAATGATTACAATCAATAGTAGTTTATTAATAGAGACCAGGATTTAGGTGGTTACAATCTAATCTTTGAAACTGGTTGATGTGAAGAGAAAGGATTGTTTCCTCCCATATTATGTCTCTCAGAATTGTTAAACAGTGTACACTGGGTTTGTTGACCAATCTAATCAGCATCGTAATGTTTCATTCTTAATTTCAACATATATTTAATACAATTTTTAATGAGATTTCCTTAATATTTTTTTTGAAATGCCCATTATTATGTAAATATTTTGTTCAAATTATTCTGTTTTTATACAGCTACCCCAAATTTAAGAATCTGGGAATGACTGCTCTCTCTTTTCTGTTTACATGCAAACACCTAATGAGCCTGACAAAATGGAGCTTAGGGATCTGAGTTTCTGATTTCAAAGTCTTGCATTTGCAGCTGTCATAGGGAATAGTATTCTTCTAGTTATTTTTAAAACAAGGTAATGTTAGGAAAATCTAAGTCTTGAATCATTATACATGCTTAAAATAATCACCATTTTATAAAATGTAGAATTATTTACATGTTAAAATATTTTACACTCATTAAGCCTAAAAATGCTGTGGGAAGAGAGGATGATAGTTATATTATGTGATGATCTAACATTTATTTGACCCCATTGTTTATCATGGATCTTTCTTGACTTTATTTTAAATTAAAAATTACAAGTGCTCTGTTCTTGGTCTTCCTTTTGCAGATGCTTTAACAGTTCATTCCCAGTTCATTAGGTTTTCGAAAGAGAGCTATTGTGTTTATTCATCTTCAGCTTGTGCATTTCTCCGAATTTCAGTTGTTTTGGTATCTCTCTAGACTGGAACATTATTCTTGAAAAACAAGTATATGTACATGTGTATATGCAAAGAATAAGCTTGAACAAGCAGTAAAAATGAATGTTTTATAAAATCTAATAGATTTGTATGTCTGCTTTTTCATTCATGAGAATTCTGTAATTTCATCTGCTTTGCTA